AAAAGTAGAAAAGAGAGAAAAAGGAAAAATGTTGATGTAAAAATTTAATCGCATTTGCGCGACCATCAAATGTTTAAAAATCGAACATACAAAATAGCATCATAATAATAATAATAATAATAATAATAATAATAATAGAATTCGTAAGATGATTTTTATTACCATTCGTCGCGACGTAAGAAAGGAATTCAGCGTTGAAAGTTGAAAGTTGATAATAATTGATTGATAGACACGGAAGGAGGAGTTTGAAGTCGTTTCTTGTCCAGCATTTGGGTCGTGTTAACGCTCCTAACTAGTTGGTATTAACGAAACGTGACGCTAGATAAACCGGCGTATCCACCCACGCGTGCGACCCCCCGCTGGTAAACTGCGTCAAGGTTAGTCGTTCTTATTCCAACGCTTTTGACGTTCCCAATCTAAACGAGATTCGACTATTCGCTCTTTAGTTTTTCTAGTTGTTTAATGATAATCACGTATAATAATATTTAATTATCTTTTTTTATCTTTTTTTTATCTTTTTTTGTTTCCTATTATTATCGTCTTCTTCGATGAAAAATAAAAAAAAAAAAGTCGCACGTCATTTATTAGATCTCTCCTTTTTCTTCGTTGTTTTCTTTTTTTTTTTTTCACTTTCCTTCCCCCGAATAATATTCATTCTCTTATATCTAATAAAAAAAAAAAAAAAAAAAAAAAGAATAAAAATAAAAAAAAAAAAATAGACAATACTTTGGTCTTAATAGACATTTAAGCGATCGTTTCTTCTAATCGAATGAAGTCGTCCTAGAGACAGTTTATTTAGATTCAACGAGAAACGAAAATACGTTCGTTAGAAGTCGTTTCGAATGTTTAAGTGACTTCATCTTTTATCAACTTGAACACTTAAGTTGAGTGTACATTTCTGTATTATTACATTTTTGTATTATTACGTACATATATATATATATATATATATATATATATATATATATATATATATATATATACATAGAGTTTGATAGGAAAATAATATTTAATTATGCACATTATATTTTGTAAGACTTCGACTTATCAGATTTCCTATATCAAAAAATTTTATTTTTCTAATTTCATCGTCGTTATCACTAAATGGCAATATCACTGGATAATTATTTTTCTTTTAAATCTTAACTATGAATAATATTTGAAGTACAGAGACTTTAGTCGATGGATATTTATGACTAATAGATATTTTTCAAGCACGACGATTGGCTGACCGAAAAATTGAAAAGGTCCTTCGTATACCTGAAAAATAAGACAACAGATGGTACGATACCTACGATAAGGGAAACTAATTGTCAAGATAAATAACTGACAACTTTAAATAGAAAAAACTTCTATGACCATTATATTTTTACCCACATTCGGGAAAATATTAGGTATATATCATCCCCTTCCTTAAACTTTCTCTAACTTTCTACAATGTCCCTTCAAAGTAACAGTGTTCTTACAATCGTAGAAGTAATAACGTGAGTCAGTTGCAATCTAATCTTCGAACTGTGATCATCTCTATTTTGTGCGAAATAATAAATATTATTTAACGTAATATTAAACAAGAATAGTGAAGGAATAAAAGTAAATATTGTAACTAAAGTGATACAAAAATAAAGTGATAAGTTGTAATAAATTTTAATGAATTTGTGATATAATGGAGGAGAAATATAGAAATTTTTTCCCATCGTATTTTTTCAATAGAAGTCTCTCGCCAAGGAATAAGTGTATATATTCGCAAAAGGTAATTTGCGTTTATCGATATATATATATATACATACATACATATCAATAATTCGAGTATAGCCATTTAATCTAAATACCGTTATTGATAATTTCAAACAATTTCACACAATATCAATTGTTATATCAAGTGTACGAATATATGTGGGAATCGTGAAAAAGTTTATGAAAGTTTATCGTCGTAGTCAATTTATTTCTTTCTATTTTTCTTTTTTTCTTTCTTTCTTTTTTTTCTTTTTTCTCTTTTTGCTCTTTTCTTTTCTTTTCCGTAAGTGAAAAGATTCGAAATATCTCTGAAATCGTTAAGTTTCTTATTCGAAATTCTTATGAGATTGGCTTATGATAGAAGTTTTCTAAACGAGCGTTCCAAACGTCATTCGCGAGCTTTGCTTTCCCGTTCGATCTCGAATGGTCGAGGTTGCTCTTCGATACGATAGTAGAGGAACTCGAGGAAAGTAATTAATTCGAGAGAAGAGGAATTCCATTTAAAATTCCCTTTTTTGCATAAGCCCTATAAACGGGGGAAAGGTATGGGCTAGTAGAGGAATAGAAATGTAGAACGGATATTGACACGAGCACAGGAGAAGACTCAGAAGCAGCGTTATCTGTCAACCAGCAGTGCACATTTCGTCCTGTGAAATTGCTTCTCAAAAAGCTGGCAGAGCTTTCCAGTCCGAAGCCCTTTTCCCAGCTTCGCTTCCATTTCTCTCTCTCTCTCTCTCTCTCTCTCTCTCTCTCTCTCTCTCTCTTTCTCTCTCTCTCTTTCTCTGCCTCTCGACCTATATAATATAAAACGCGAGTTGCCTCTCCAATATCTCTTTTCTCCGTCGTCGCCTGTACGGCAGCTGACATTCTCGATGCAATTCTTTTCTGCCGCAGTACCTTTTCTTCTACAAAGCGGTCACTACGCGTCAAAACTAATCAAAATGGAAGGAAAAAAGAAAAAAAAAGAAAAAGGGAGGGGGAAGAGTAAAAAAAAACAGAAGAAACAAACTGGGGTAGCAATTGCTTTACGAAATCTTACATCTAATCGCCGATTTTGCCTTTACCTTTCTCTAATCTCTTTTTTTTCTTTTAATCGGATACGAAAAGTCATCGGACGAATTAGATTTTATATTTAACGATAAAATATCTCTACGAAACTTTCATAAGTGTCGTTGAGAATAAATGTTTTTTTTTTTCCTCTTCTTTCTTTTCTTTTTCTTCTATTTTTTTTTTTCTTTTTTTTTTTTACAGCCGTAGCAAAAGATCTTAGAAAGTTAGAAACTTTGTTTTATATTACGAGGATATTTCTATCGTGTTGATATTTCTAAGAAAACCTTTAGATTCTCACGAATATTCAATTTCATTTCATTATGAATACTTTTGTTACATCGATCCAAGGATTAACTTATTCTAGGCGAACGAAAACGATTACTTTACGTCGCAAAATCCTTCGGGTCTTTGTCAAGGCGAAAAAATGTACACGGTCGAAGGTTGAAAGAATATTGTGTTACACGTGCAAGAGACACGAGATTAGAAGGTATAAAAGAGAGAAAAAGAGAGAGAGAGAGAGAGAGAGAGAGAGAGAGAGAGAGTAAGAAGTAATAAGAGAAATAGCGACGGAAATGAAGAACGTTTGATTCGTTGTTATAAAGGGTAATACGTATTATCGACGTGTACGAAGTTACTCAACTTCAAATCATGAAAGAAAGCATGGATGGATGTTCGTCTATATAGAACAATGCAACGGTTTGAACCGCGAATATCTCGAGTAGAGCGCATTCGGAAAAACTTTTTCCAATCTCATTTTTTTCCTTTCTTCTCTTTCTCTTTACCATTCTATCTTTTGCTATATCTCGATATCGGACAACTTCTTCATATTTTCATCGAACTCTATTTCGACGTGATCCATCTATGATGCCCTGATGATATGGCAAAACGTGTATATTTAAAAAAAAAAAAAAAAGAAAAGAAAAGAAAAGAGAAAAAAATCTCTTTTTTGTTCTATTTCATATTAACATCATAAATGATGTGAAATAGTTCGACAAAGTGATGAACTTTTAATACTTGAATGATTTTAAATTTGTTAAATTAATTTTCTTTTTTTTCTTTTTTTTTTTTTTTTTTTTTTTTTTTTTTAATTGAAAAAGAAAATTGAAATTACTTTTATTATCACCGATAATAAATAATCGAGCTTTTTAATAAATCGTTTCTGCAAAAGAAATAATTTGACATTCGTCAAGGATAAGTTTCACGTAAATATTCGATACGCGTGCATATGCGCGAAGGACAAGTGGGAGAACAATCGAAAGATAATAAAAGGCACACCATCGTTTCTAACGACCGAGATTTACGTGTCATGTAAGGAATCAGGATTCCGAAGTTGAAACGATCAGTAGTGGTTAGTTGATTCCCACCGGTGGTCGACGGAGAGGAACGCGAATGTCCCTTTTCTTTGTACAAAGATAGTTGGTAGAAAAAGCTTTGAAAAGGTATTGACAGGTACGGTGAGAAATTGTCAGGTTAATTGGAAAAAAAAAGTCTGTGAAACGACTTTGCCACGAGAGCCGTGGACACCGCGTTGTTTGACTCTGCGGATCGGGAGTTAAGTATCCTGCACTAACCGGTTGCGGACTACCTTCGTGACGAGTAAAAAGCACGAAGTACCAGCAAGCTAAACGCGCCGCCGCTTCTTTTTGACCCGATCGCAAAGAAAATGGTACCTTCTTTCCGAGCTTTATTTTACTTCATTAACTTCACGTAATAATGAAACATTATTAGAAATTTAATGATCGTAAGTTATACGGGGAATGTGTTATCTTCTTTCATTTTTCTTCTTTGTTTTTTTTTTGTTTGTTTGTTTGTTTGTTTGTTTGTTTTTTCCCCTGTCCACCCCCTCACCCCGCCTCCCCCTCTCATCAAAAAATGTATCATAAAATCATTTTTATTTTTTAAAGTGCATCGAGCAGAATATGGAAAATACCAGGGTGTATAAATATTTGTATTTCGCTTTAACGTCCGCGCGCTTCGATACGCGAACGAACGAGTTCGATAAACACAGATTCGATATATGATTACGTTACAACCTACGTACGTAATTCATGGATTCCATTATACAGAAATTGGAGATTTAATTAGTACTTTCCAATTGAAGAAATAATAATAATTCGACCATTTCCGTAGGGACGATATTGGGCGTGTATCGTTTATATCGAATCTCTGCTTTGGAAAATGAAATCGATATCAATCGTAATTTATTCTTGTTCCAGCAGCAGAAATTCTTAAAGAGAACGGCCGAGGAGTTGGAGGCAAGCGGGGGTGGCGGAGGCGACGGAGGATTCGGTGAGCCACCGGTAAAGCTACAATGCACGCAAGCCCAGCATCAGCATCAAGCGCAGCTTACCAGCGGTGGCGGAGGAGGAGGAGGCGGAGCCGGAGGTGGTGGGCCTCACCACGGCCACGGGCAGCATCAGCCCGGAAACGGTGCGAACTCGACGGGTCCGAACGGACCAGGTAGCGGAGCTGGTGGAGGCGGAGGTGGCGGCGGAAGCGGTGGAGGTGGTGGTGGCGGTGGTGGGGGTGGAAACGAAGGTCTGACCAAGTTCTCCGTCGAGATCGTTCAACAACTGGAGTTCACGACCTCGGCCGCGAACTCTCAGGCACAGCAAATATCGACGAACGTGACGGTGAAGGCATTGACGAACGCTTCCGTGAAAAGCGATTTATTGAACGCCTCGTCCTCGCCTAAGCCGGACCCGAACGGCGGCGGTGGCGGAACTGGAGGCGGTGGCGGTGGTGGAGGTGGTGGGAATGTTAGGACACAGCCGGGAAACGGAACCGGTGGAGCTGGTGGTCCAGGCGGGCCTGGTGGTGCTGGCGCCGCAGGTGCCACGGATGGAATCGGTTGCGTCGACATCGCTAATCTCGTCGAGTGCAAACAAGAACCCGATAACGAATTCGTCGATCTTGAACAGTGCGCCGCCGCCTTGGAAAAGGACGCGGCAGTGAACGGAGCCGGTTTCCCTGGCTTTTCTGATTTCATGGGTGACGACACCGGCGATGAGATCATTACATCGGACGCTTTTAAAGATCTCATCTCGGAAATTTCGGACTTCCATCCGGAATTCATGAAAGACTTTGATTTTGAGGACAAAAGCGTAGACGCGTTGGCGAACAACGCGGCAGCTGCCGTCGCGAATGCTGCCGCCGTCGCAACCGCAGCGGCTGTAGCTGCTGTAACTAATGGAAATAATCCTAATAACAATGGAATGCCTCCGAACAACGGACAGATCAAGATCGAAGACGACAAGGATACTATTCATCATCAACAGCAACAACAGCAACAACAGCAACAGCAACAACAGCAGCAGCAACATGGGAACAGTAATAATAACAACGGTGTGAATAACGGTACGACCGCCAATAACGGCAACGCGTTACCTGCCAATTCCAGTCCAAGTGCGCTCGCCTCCTCTCAGTATTCCCCCGCCCGACTACCTTACTCCGGTCTAGACTTTAAGTCCGAAATGAGCCCGGCAGCTCAGACGCTCAAACAGATGGCCGAGCAGCATCAGCACAAGAGTCAGCAGCTAGGCCTTGGCGGTTTCAATCCGACAGCAGCGGCAGCCGCAGCTGCGGCGGCTGCTAGAGGACCAGCGGCTAGATCACCTTATGCCGAATTTTCTCAATTTACCGGAGCTTCGGACTATTTGGGTAGTCCAGGAAGCACAGCACCCCCGGGTGGACAAAATCAAACTCCAGGATCTGGTACCGGATCGTATCACAAGAACAATGGCGCAACCGGTTTCCAAAGTCAACAAACAAACGACATGTTCGTCAGTTCCCAAACACAATTTGCCCCCGGCTTGCCGGACATGAAGAGATCACAACCAAACGCGGGTGGTAAGCCGAGTATGCTGGGACCAAGTGGTGGCTATAAACAACAATATTCTCCTTATGGAAGTCCAGGCTCTATGCCGAATCACGGTAGTCCAGGATATCCTCTACCTCCGAGAGGATCGCAAAGCGGTGGTCCTAATCAAACCGGATCTCAAGGACCCTTTACCAGCTCCACACCACCAAGACCTCCCTCGGGACCTGGTACCTCTACATTGCAGATCAATCAAGCGCAACAACTGCACATTAGTAATCCGGGACATCAGATTCAGGTCGGTCAACTTAAATTTATTAAATTTCTCTCTTATTATATAATTTATACCATTTAAATAGTCGACAAGTTGAAACGGAGAACAAAAAAACCGCGAATGATCGAATCAACTAATTCACATTAATCCAAATTATATTTACAAATGAGAACTACGTTTCCTCATTATTTCATATTATCTCATATCTGAGATTTTTCTAAAACTAATATTTTCCCTTGAACGAACGACAAATAAAAACATATAATATCGCGAGAAGGATATCGTACTCGTAGTCGTATGATATCTGTTGCGTCGCGACAATGCGTCTATTTTTGTAGGTGGGATCGGTCGTTGGGGGTAAGAGAAAAAGGGGTGACGATGGTCGGTCGTAGTAGCATCGACGGTAGATAGCATAGTAGTAGTGATATTGGGTAGTGGTGGTGGTAGAAGTGGGTAGTGGTAGTGGTGGTGGTAGTAGTGGGTAGTTATAGTGGTGGTAGTGGTGGTGGTGGTGGTGGTGGTGGTGGTGGTCGAAGACTGTGAAAATGGGTGGCGTCGTCGGACCGTCACGAGGGCGCCGCGACGCGCAACAAGTAGTCTAACCCTCCCTTTCTCCCTTCTACTTTGACATCACTACTACCACTACCAACTTTACCACCACCGATACCACAACCATCGGCGTTACTACCCCCCTAATGTCGCCCTCCGCTCTTTATAAATTTTCCCTCTCACTATTTCCCCTACTCTTCTCGAGGCTTGGTCTAACGTATAGGAGCGCGAGTGCGCGCACGCATGAGTATGAGAGGGAGAGAAAGTTAAGGGTGAGAGGTGCATGGCCGTGCGCAGCCGGCGTCGCGACGCCACCGTCTGCTCGATTTACCCTGCGCCTGCAATCCGCGTCAATACGCTTGGCTTGCCGCTCGCAAAATTCTGCGCTCGCGGTAATCTACGCGTCGATGCTCGGACGGGGTCGACCACGAAAGCTATGTTGTGATAGAGAGAGAGAGGGGGGGAGGGGGATAGATGAGAAGGAGTAGGAGTAGGAGTAGGAGTAGTAATAGGAGCAGGAGAAGGAGGAGGATGCGGAGCAGTAGTAGTAGGAGGAGGAGAAGAAGGAGGAAGACGAGAAGTTATTTAAATCTTCGCTCGACGCTATTCTCGCGCCAAGTATCTATTTGCGAATACGATTTTAATACGACTAAGCAGATGCATTGAAGATTTTCTTTAATTGGTCGTAGAAAATCGTTTCTTCGTTTATGTCTTCGTAAATTTCTTTCTTACGTTATACGTTAGACGTTAGTTTTATTATCCTAAAAAATTATGGATTGAAATCGTATGAATTCTCAGTATTCTCTATCGGTAAATCATTTCCCATCATATTCTCAACGTTATTATTTATATTATATTGTTTTATACAATGAATTTTTATGAGGTCGCTATAATCATTTTTAATTACAATATAAGACCGCGTTGAGTCGTTAGATTTACAATGCGATTTCGACGTGACATTTGACGATGACGTGATAAATGATTTGCTACGATATTTAATAACGAATTATATTGAGGCACCATCGGTATAACCCTTGAATTTGTTCTTCGGCTACGAGACTAAAGAAAGAAAGGAAAGAAAAAAAAAAAAAGCAACTTCATGGAACAAATGAAAATTTTAATATTTTAATGAAAGTCACAAGAAACAACGGAGACTGTTCCAGATGTTTAAACATCCTACTTGAACTACGCTTATGAATAATAATTTATTTTTTATCGAGATATCGGATAGATAATCCTGTTATCGTAAATGAGATTAGTTATTATCACGTATACATATTCACAGTGTTGTACAACACAATTTTCAAAATCGATAACGTTCCATATCCTTCCGTTAGAGACCGTAGATCGTTCGTTGTCAATTCGAAAAGATAATATTTTATTCGTTTGAAAGTTCGAGCGTATCGGCTAACCATGAAATTTGAAAAAGATTACTCGATGAAATTTCCTCGTCTCTCCTGTAGGCCATTTTCATGTTTTTCCGCTTTCACCGTTGGGAATATAGGTTGAAATTATTTTAACATCGGCGCGATGGAAATTTCGGACTGCAATGGACTCCGCAAAATTTATAAAACCAGCCAAGTCTTGTAATTTCGTTAATAGAGAATTACATATTTTCCTGATATAAAATAATTGCTTTTGTATTTTCTCTCTCTCTCTCTCTCTTTCTTTTTTTGTTTTTTTTTCGTTCAAAAGTGATATATATATATATATATATATATATATATATATATATATCGTATACTTTTTTTTTATTTATGGCAGAGCCTCAACGGACTCGTAATATTTAGATATAATTGAAGTACTCCGTTGATACTGGCGAGGCCGTCCAATTAACGTGAATTTATAAAAAGGAAGAAAAAAAAATCGTCTAGGTAAATGGGAATAAAATCGTTTGTAATCCTACGAATAAAGTTTATCTCAAATTTGAATACTTTGATTGTCTGGCATCGTGATATTCTTGTTAAAAGAGAGAAATATATATATATATATATATATAGAGAGAGAGAGAGAGAGGGGTGAGGGAGAAAGAGGTAGGACATAATAATAATAATAATAATATTAATAATAATAATATTAATAATAATAATAACAGATTATCTTCTGAACTCTTTCTAATCATTTTACTTACGATTCCTTTTATCATATTTTATTATACGTGGATTCACGATCGATCATTCGATCATTTCGAAATGTTTCAAAATTGACATCACTTTCTTCGTGAAAGAAAATCGAATTCCCCCTAGCAAGTCCAAATCGAATTCGTTCTAGCCAACAGCGACGATTCGTTTTTCTCTATAACTGAACGAAAAGGAACTCGCTCAGGATGGAAATCGAAGGTACGTTCTTCCTTGGGAAGGAATATCTACCGGTATATAAAATCCTTGGAGCATTGTGCTAGATAGCTAGAGAAGAGATCTTATCTGTCCGTCCCTCGGACACCTTCGAACCTCAGAAGCGTTCCTTCTGTCTCGTTCTTCTCTCGCATCTTATGGACACGTCTGTCCCTCGTAAATCACGCTAGCTAACGCGTATTTGCATCTCAATGCGCTTTGGATCTGAACAACGCTTTTCACCTCGTCGTCTACGAGATCAATTTCTTCCTTTTCAAGGATCTTTTTCTTATTCTCTGCCTTTATTATCGATCACCTACCTTTCTCTCTCCCCCTTTCTCTCTCTCTCTCTCTCTCCTCGTTCTTAGTTTCCTCTAAATGTTTTCTCCGTTTTAAAATTACATAAATGTAGATCATTTCACGACAATAGATCGTGAAACAAGCGATTGATAATTGTCTTCCATAAAATCGAAGTCGGCAAGTTCGATGACAACAAAAGAGCATCGTTATCATTAAAGGCAAATAATGTTATCACTATAAAGCTGTAAACCGTAAGAATCTCTGACACACTTCCTTTCAAACATCGTTATTCATTAATCATTAAAAGTCAATCTGTACTATTATTAATAGATAACGCGGTCATTTTTTTTTTATGAATTATCAATCGATTTGCGCAATCATAAATTATCAGTTGATCGGTAATTTATCTTTAGATCAGGGAAAAGTACATTTTTTTTCATCGCAAAAATATAAAGATAGAATAAAATTTAATCGAGATCAACTTTTTTTTTTTTTTTTAATTCCTTCGTTTCATGTGAAAAGTTACGTTTTAAGAAAAAGAGAGAGAAAGAGAGAGAACACGTATCGCTTTCGATGCAAATAAACGCTGGTAACAAAAAAACCCGTTTGAATGTCTTTCTCTTACGTTCTAAAATCTCTCGTATTTACGATTCCATGTAAATTCGACTGAACGAATTCATTTTCGTTCATTCCCGTTCGTATTCCCGAAGAGAGCTGCTTCCTAGTACGGTCTCGTGCGTATTCACAGAGGACCGGAAATCGACTCTGTTGTGCGCAGACTCCTACTTCTCTTTCGGTTCAAAGGTTATTTGCGCACCTTCGATCGTGACGTCTCGTAGATACACGCGCGTGCCGTAAAACTGGTCCAAAGGATTCGCGTCACGTACATTACGTCAATTTCTAGTTTTTCTGTCGCATTCTCATATAACCAATTTTTTCTTTCTGTTATTTCTTATAACACAATTAAAAATTATAATTATTCTATCTTCGTTATCTTCTATTTTTCTCTTTCTCTCTCTCTCTCTCTCTCTCTCTCTCTCTCTCTCTCTCTCTTTCTTTTTATTTGGAATAGATATCGGGTGTTCTTTCGTTTTTCTTTTTTATCATTTCAGCTTTCGTAATCTCGATTTATAATTAAGTTAATTATATAAAAGTGATACGTACGCGTTAAAGAGAATGAGGGTGAAGTGGGCGAGCGAGAGGAAGGGTGGGAAATAATAGCGAAAATTGAGAGGGATGGTTGGCGCGGGAGGAGGAATGAGGAAGAACTCGGGAAGGCACGAGGAATGTTATATGACTAACGGCAGATAGCTCGAAAACGCGGCGTAAATCAAACCCACCGCAATCGTAATTTCGGAAATTCAATGCGTAAATATGACGCGATCTGGTCGATTCGCGTAACGGTCATCCCTCCGTGAAAATCCAACGTAAAAGCGCTCGGAAATGCGTCTTCCAAACTCGACAAGCGGCATTTATTTGAAAATGCATATTAATGTCCCTGTTGATTACAGAAATCGAGTATTAACGGGATTCGCGGATAATGAGCTCGCAAATGCACGCTAAGTATTTATTAGGGACGAGTCAAATTTTCCACGCAATTTTCTTTCTTCTTCGAATTTATTCGCATAAATATGATCGTCATTGTTGATACGCACTCTAATACACATTACATGCAATTACTTATATTTTCAATGACAATCTTTTAACTTTGATCCATTGGACAATTAACTTGGTACAATACAAATTTTTTCGATCGCGAGCATCGATACTAAGAGAAAAAATTCTCATAGACGCGATTGGATATTATTACGATATGAGTTAAGTGAATTAAGCGAAATCGAG